TCTTTCCCTTTTTTCCATCCCCTCCCCCACCTGGGAAGACCCGGCGGCTCCCCCCCGCTCCGTGCTCAGTAGCGGCGGGTGCTCGGCGGCGGCGGAGCGGGGATACCGGCGCGGCGTGGATGTGGCCGCTGCCCCCCTGCCGGGGCTCGGCGCTGCCAGGTACGCGCAGAGACGGACTGGGGGGGCTTCGCAGCCAGGGCAGGACAGCGCGCAGGTGGCTTCGGGCCCGCTGTGAAACGAGGCGGAGGGGTCGATGCCTCGGGTTCTGCATAACAACTGCTGTCCTGGTGGGTTTCTTTTTCATAGGACCAAGAAGTGACGCGAATCTCTGATCCCCTTTTTAAGCGCAGGCGGCTCCGCGGGAGACGGAGGGGGGCACGTTCATTTCTTTACGCTTTCAAGGGTTTTGTCTCCGCGCAGCTCCAGAGCCTCTTTACGTTTCAAAACAACCTTCCTTGAGTTCTGATTCACCCCCGCGGTGTTTGTGCTACCATTCCTGCCCTCCTTTTGGAATTGACACTAATTTTATCCAGATTCGTCACTGCTAGAAACGGCTTTATCTCGGAATCGCGGAAAGCTGTGCCAAGTATCTAGCTTGAGGACTAGGAGAGAGGGAGCTCCTTCGGGTCGGGCGCAGAAAGCAGAGAGCCCCGTGATCACACCCGAAAGCGGGACAGAGGGTGGCCGAGGGGCTTTAGAGCCGTCTTCCCACTCCTCCAGGAAAGCACCACACTTCTGCGCGATTAGTGCATCGGAACGGTGAGCAGAAGGAGAGCGGGCAATGAAACGAACGCGGTCGCCGTCCCTCCCCGGCTTCCCTCCCTTTGCTGATGTTCCCCGCACCCCGGCAGCCACAGCGGAGCTACGGATCCCCTCCCGACCCCTTCCCCAAGTCTCGGCGGGGAGGAGAGCGGGGCTGCCTGCTGCGAGCCCGGCTGGGAGAGCTTCCAAGCGAGGCTTGAGCCGGCTGGGCTGAAGCTGCGAAGCGCTTGTCCTCCTCCGCTTGCCCTCGAGCGAAGCTGTGCCGAGCCCAGCCCCTCTGATCCGATTCGGGCCGTGCCGAGTTGTGCCCGTTGGCTCCGAGCTGTGCCGCTATCCGGGCGCGCCACCCAGCGGTCCTCCTGCCCCTCCCGGGACATAGAAAATCCGGGCCCGAGATGAAGCCCGTTCCTTCATTGC